TCTTCCTCACTTGAAGTTTTTCCTGATACTAGAAGGAAGCAGCTCAGCATTTCTGCCTCACTGACACAAACACAAAAATTGTATTTCTGCAGAAATGTTGGAAAATTTAAACTTAAAATTATATAAATTTAAAAGCTTTTAAAAATGCTTTCATATACATATCTGTGTGATTATATATTCATTTTTCTTTGCCTGATACACTTCTTATTTGGGCTAATTTTAGCTTGGGAGACAGCCTGGTTGATTCTTTTATATTTGATTTGATGGCATTACCCATCTTAATCCATGTATCAGACTTCTTGTTTATCTGAAGTAAATAACACTTTCAAATTGATTTTTTTTTCAAATTGATTTATATACGTCTTAATTTTTGTATATGCTTCCATGCCAAGTGTAAATTTCACAAATACTTACTATTTATTTGGCTACACTGTGCATCTTGTGGGATCTCACTTAGTTCCTCAACCAGGGATTAAATCCAGGCCACACAGTGAAAACATGGAATCCTAACCACTAGACCACCAGGGAACTCCTGACAAAAGCATACTTCTTAAAAATAAATTTTTAAAACTTGTTTAAATTTTCTTTCAAAAAAAAACCAAAAAATAAATTTTCTTTCAGTAGCTATCCTTTTAATATTGCTGCAATGCATATTTTAAGTTATTTGAAGTTGAAACCTATCTTCATGCAGCTAAAGTTTAGCAACTTACAAAGTTATTCCATGCTGTAATTTTAAGAATTCTAGGAATATTCTCCTTTTCTTGCCTATTCTTGATATTTACATTTCTTTAAATTGTGGAAATGTAAGTTGGTTTAGCCACTGTGGAAAACAGTATGGAGGTTCCTCGAAAACTAAAAACAGAATTATCATATGATCCAGCAATCCCACTTCTGGGAATATATTCAGATAAAACTGTAATTTAAAAAGATACATGCACTCCTATGTTTATAGCAGCACTAGTCACAGTAGCCACAGTATGAACAATATGAAAAGGCAAAAAGATAGGACACTGGAAGATGTACTTCCCGGGTCGGTAGGTGCTTACTATGCTACTGAAGAAGAGTGGAGAAATAGCTCCAGAAATACTGAAGAGTCTGAGCCAAAGCAAAAACAAAATCCAGTTGTGGATGTGACTGGTGATGGAAGTAAAATCTGATGCTGTACAGAACAATATCGTATAGGAACCTGGAATGTTAGGTCCGTGAATCAAGGTAAATTGGAAGTGGTCAAACAGGAGATGGCAAGAGTGAACATTGACATTTTAGGAATCAGTGAACTAAAATGGGCCAGAATGGGCGAAATTCATTCAGATGACCATTATATCTACTACTGTGGGCAAGAATCCCTTAGAAGAAATGGAGTAGCTCTCATAGTCAATAACGCATAGCCAAAAATACAGTACTTGGGTGCAGTCTCAAAAATGACAAAATATTCTGTTTGTTTCTAAGGCAAACCATTCAGTATCATGGTATCCAAGTCTATGCCCTGACCAGTAACGCTGAAGAAGTTGAAGCTGAATGGTTCTATGAAGACCTACAAGACCTAGAACTAACACCAAAAAAAGATGTCCTTTTCATCACTGGGGACTGAAATGCATAAGTAGGAAGTCTAGAGATACCTGGAGTAACAGGAAAGTTTGGCCTTGGAGTACAAAATGAAGCAGGGCAAAGGCTAACACAGAGTTTTGCCAAGAGAACGCACCGATCATAGCAAATACCCTCTTGCAACAATACAAAAGATGACTCTAAACATAGACATCACCAGATGGTCAATACTGAAATCAGATTAATTATATTCTTTGCAGCCAAAGATGGAGAAGCTCTTTACAGTCAGCAAAAACAAGACCAGGAGCTGACTGTGGCTCAGATCATGAACTCCTTGTAGTAAAATTCAGACCTAAATTGAAGAAAGTAGGGAAAACCACTAGAACTTTCAGGTATGACCTAAATCAAATCCCTTATGATTATACAGTGGAAGTGACAAATAGATTCAAAGGATTATATTTGATAGAGTGCCTGAAGAACTATGGATGGATGTTTGTAACACTGCACAGGAAGCAGTGATCAAGACCATCCTCAAGAAAAAGGCAAAATTGTTGTCTGAGGAGGCCTTACAAATAGCTGAGAAAAGAAGAGAAGCAAAAGGCAAAGGAGAAAAGGAAAGATATATCCACTGAATGCAGAGTTCCAAAGAATAGCAAGGGGAGATAAGAAAGCTTTCCTAAGTGATCAATGCAAAGAAATAGAGGAAAACAATAGAATGGGAAACACTAGAGATCTCTTCAAGAAAATTAGAGATACTAAGGGAACATTTCATGCAAAGATGGGCACAATAAAGGGAAGAAATGGTATAGACCTAACAGAAGCAGAAGATACTAAGACGACGTGACAAGAATACACAGAAGAACTATACAAAAAAGATCTTCATGACTCAGATAACCATGATGGTGTGGTCACTCACCTAGAGCCAGGCATTCTGGAGTGTGAAATCAAGTGGGCTTTAGGAAGCATCACTGTGAACAAAGCTAGTGGAGATGATGGAATTCTAGTTAAGCTATTTCAAATCCTAAAAGATGATGCTATAAAAGTACTGCACTCAATATGCCAGTCAATTTGGAAAACTCAGCAGTGGCCACCACTAGAAAAGGTCAGTTTTCATTCTATTCCCAAAGAAAGGCAGTGTTCAAACTAAATGTTCAAAATGTTCAAGCTACCACGCAATTGCACTCATCTCACATGCTAGCAAAGTGCTGCTCAAAATTCTCCAAGCTAAGCTTCAAAACTATGTGATCTGAGAACTTCCAAATGTTTAAGCTGTATTTAGAAAAGGCAGAGGAACCAGGTATCAAATTGCCAGTATCCATTGGATCATAGAAAAAGCAAGAGAATTCTAGAAAAGGATCTATTTCTGCTTCATTGACTATGCTAAAGTCTTTGACTGTGTTGATCACAACAAACTATGGAAAATTCTTTAAGAGATGGGAATACCAGACCACCTTACCTGCCTCCTGAGAAACCTGTATGCAGATCAGCAGTTAGAACTGGACATGGAACAACGGATTGGTTCCAGATTTGGAAAGGCATTCTTCAAGGCTTTATATTGTCACCCAGCTTATTTAACTTATATGCACAGTACATCATGAGAAATGCCAGACTGGATGAAGCACAGGTTGGAGTCAAGATTTCTGGATGAAATATCAACAACCTCAGTTAAGCAGATGACACCACCCTTATGGCAGAAAGTGAAGAGGAACTGATGAAAGTGAAAGAGGAGAATGAGTAAAAAGCTGCCTTAAAACCAACATTTTAAAAACTAAGATCATGGCATCTGGATCCATCATGTCATGGCAAATAGAGAAACAATGGAAACAGTGTCAAACTTTCTTTTCTTGGTCTCCAAAATCACTGTGAATGTTAACTGCAGCCATGAAAATAAAAGATGCTTGCTCCTTGGGAAAAAAGCTATGACAAACCTAGGCAGCATATGAAAAAACAGAGACATTACTTTTCCCACAAAGGTCCACCCAGTCAAAGCTGTGTTTTTTCCAGTAGTCATGTATGGATGTGAGGGTTGGACCATAGAGAAAGCTGAATGCTGAAGAATTGATGCTTTTGAACTGTGGTGTTGGAGAAGACTCTTAAGAGTCCCTTGAACAGCAGGGAGATCAAACCATTCAGTCCTAAAGGAAATCAGTCCTGAATATTCATTAGAAGGACTGATGCTGAAGCTGAAGCTCCAATACTTGGACCATGTGTTGCAAAGAACTGACTCATTGGAAAAGACCCTGATGCTGGGAAAGATTGAAGGCAGGAGGAGAAGGGGATGACAGGATGAGATGGTTGGATGGCACCACCAACTCGATGGACATGGGTTTGGGTGGACTCCGGGGGTTGGTGATGGGCAGGGGAGCCTGACATGCTGTGGTTCATGGGGTCGCAAAGAGTTGGTCGGACACAGCTGAGCGACTGAACTGACATGTTTTAATACCAAGTTTGGGTCTCTTAAAAGTGGAACTATATCAAGAATCAAATCAGGGACTTACTTCCCTGTTGGTCCAGTGACTAAGACTCCATGCTCCCAATGCAGCGGGCCTGAATTCGATCTCTGGTCAGGGAACTAGACCCCACATGCTAAAGCTAAGACCCAGTGCAGCCAAAAAAAAAAAAAAAAAAAGAATCAGACTGTAGAATTTCTTGACAGGTTTTATGCTTGATATTCTTGAAGTTTTCACTGCCATATTTAGCTTGCGTCTTATGGTTCCTTATTAAAGAGTTAATGTGTTCTGGTTTTTCATTTGTTTCAGTTTGTTGCCATTTTTATATGATTATATTCAGTAATGATTCCAGTAAGTTAGCAGTCTAACATAGGAGAGAATATTTTAGCATTCTTTGAACTAAATCTGTAGTAAAATAAATATCTTGGTATTAAATTGAAAATTATCTTTACTCAAGTTTCAAGTTAATTTCTTTGTTGTTTCCCACCTTAGCAATGGATTTCTCAAGTGCCATCTGTCCCCTTTAATCAGTAATCTCTTGTCAGTTCCTTCCCAATGTCTATATCTAATTTGTGTTATTCATGTAAGAATTATTTAATAGCATTACATATTGTAAGAAAATTTTTTTGCTATGTTAAGCAAAATGTTGGTTACTTTTCCAGACTCTAGCATCCTTAAATGAAAGCATTTGCATATCCCTTTGAGAATAAAATAAAATTTCATCCTTAATATTCTTTTATATGGAACATAGGTAGTCCAATAAATAAGAAATTTATATTAAAAGGTTTCCCTTGTTAAAATGTTATACTTTTTTTCCAGATATTAGTCTTAAAATTTTGTGTATTCTTTTGTTTCTTCAAAATAGATGATCCATAATTATATGGAACACTTAGAAAGAACAAAACTTCATCAGATCTCAGGGAGTGATCAACTAGAATCCACAGCTCATAGTAGAATTAGGTAAGCTTTTTTTATACATTTTTACCTTGGGAAAAAGGAAAATAAAATAATCTGTTTCTGTTTTTCTCTGTTCTTTAATCCTCAGACAATAGTTAGCTTTCTCCCTGCTGTAGTTGGAATGCTATAGGAGGGGGTAGCATAGAAAAACAAAACAACTTTCACTAATGAAAAGGTATATTGATAGCCATTGTTTTCTGATACTTGATAAAGATTGTAGTGGGTTTAAAATTTTTGTCAGAATGCTATATATTTTTCATTTCTCCTGTATAATTGGTTTAAAAGTCCTTTTTGCTACAGAGAGACATGTTTGAAAGGGTTAGCCAGACTTCTGTTTGATGTAGGAGTGTGAATAAATTATGTAGATCTCCAAGCATTGTAGCCAATGAGCTAAGCCAGGCCTCTTAGTGGGGAGGAAAATAGTTAATAGGCTGGCCTCTGCTCTGGATTGCTGCATAAATGCTAGGAGCAGCAGCTCTATGGTTATGAGGCGGTGAGAGCAGGATGACGTCAGCGCTTCGGAGCTGCAGCAGGATGGAGTGGAAAGCTGCTGCTGATGGCATTGTTTTTGTGGCAGCAGCTGAATGACAGATCCTCACTACAAAGATACCCCTTTGGCCCCTGTGTAGGCCTCCTGGTTCGGGTGTTTCACCATGCCAGCACAGCGCCATGAGTCCTGGATGCATGCTGCTGTTTGTGTTTGGCTTTGTTGGCGGGGCGGTGGTCATTAATTCTGCTATCTTAGTATCTCTCTCCGTTTTGCTGCTTGTGCACTTTTCTATTTCTACCGGAGTGCCAGCTTTGACGCAGAACCTACCAAGGATACTCAGGTACTTCAGTCTCTCTTAGAAGTCCTTTTCTGGTTGGTTTTTCTTTTATGTTTAGCTTTATGGGTCTTCTTTGTAACCATTTATGTTGCAGATTGAAACAATGGAAAATGGCCTGAAGCTAAGACTTCTATTCTTATATATATTTATAGGCTATTGCTTAGGAATACGCTTTGTGTTTGGAAACCACCCACTTAAGAAAAGGATTTTCAGATCGTACTTAACACACAAATACAAGGTCAGAGTGGTCTTGTTTTAAGCAGAGGGTTCAACCAGTAAAGGAAAACAGGAGTGGAGCATTGGGTCCAAATTCACACAACCTCTTCATGAGAGCATCTGAGCACTTAGAAGCAAATATCTTTATGATGGGACTTGTAGTTGATTAGACACAGGCCGTAGGTGTTTATTTTGTTCCAATGATCCTTTGACTGTTGGAGGTTCAGGCATCCTTTTTGCAGTTTTTGATAGCAGTTCATGGGAACTGACAATGTAAATATTTTCCTCCTACAGCAAAACATATTTGAAGTGAAAGGATTTAAACCTTTTAGGGCAAGGAATTCATTTTTTCTCCCAGTTATTTATGCATAAAAGTTGGAAAGCTTTACAAAGCCTATTCACTATTGTTTTGTCAGATGTTGCCTTTTCTTTGTAGACTTGGATAACAGATATCCATGCCTGCTTGTGGGGATATCATTAATCTCTGTAGCTTTTCTTCTGGTCACTGTACTTGCATGCTGCAAGAACCATCTTCTGCATTTTAGAGGTTTAATGTTGTGGTTTCTTTTGTTTTCTAACTCACCAAGATAAAAATTTGATTTGTTGAGATTTCTGCTTCGTGTGTGGTTTTTAAATGAAGGTTCATAATATATAGCTTTTATTATATAAATGTTTACTTAAAACTCAACTCCTAATTGTGGGCTTAAAGAGAAATTAAAGTAGTAAATTCCCTCATCCTCATGTTCAGCATTAGTTTAAGATCCAGATGAAATTAAATTTCATCCGTGGTCTTAAAACTTGGCCATTTATTTATTTTTTTCCTGATGTTATAAAAACTGGGAGCAATCTTATTGCTTTGTGTACATTTTGGTACATAAAGGATTTGTGTGTCTGTATATATAGGCTTTTAGAAAATTGAAACACAAGAACATATAGACTATTAAAGTAAGATTAATTTTAAAGGGATGTCCTAGGTTTCAGTTCTGTCTGTGAAGCCAGTACTGTGCAGTGGATAAGAGGTTCAGAGTTGGACTACCAGGCTACAAATGCTCTGCCACACATGAGCTATGGGACTATTGGCAAATTACTTAATCTCTGTACCCGAGTTTCCTCCTTTGAGCTTGTTACCCCATTGAGTCATTTTAAAAATTACGTGAGATGATTATTTTGTATTTAATCAGCTCAAGATATATTGTGAATTAAACAAGTAAATAATTTTCATAATCATTTATATTTACTCCACTTTTAGTAAAACTATATCAGCTCTAGCTATTTTATTCATAAAATAACTTATGATTAAATTCAAGGAGTTTCTTGATATAAAAGTTGCTGTTGATCTGAATGAAGAAAGATATCAAAGTCTTTAATATTAAGATTGGCCTCCCAGGTGGTACTAGTGGTAAAGTACCCGCCTGCCAGTGCGGGAGACTTAAGAGAGGTGGGTTCCATCCCTGGGTCAGAAATATCCCCTGGAGGAGGATGTGGCAATCCAGATCTCCAGTACTTTGGCTGGGGGAATCCCATGGACAGAGAAGACTTATGGGCTACAGTCCATGGGTGCAAAGACTCAAACATGATGACTGAAGCACAGTTGTCAAGAAGTAATAGTTCCAGGGAATGTACATGGGCCTTGGAGTCAAAACAGGCCTGACTTTGAATCCCATGTCTTCCAATTACTAGTGCCCAAAGTCTCTAAGCATCACTTTTCCTAATCTGAAAACAGGGAAAATAATTCTTACTTCCTTGTGAGGATTAAATGAGGATATGTAAATAAATCATCCATTTCAGTGCTTGCCACATTGGTGGGTGTTGAACAAATGTAATCTTTTTACTGCTTTTTATACATATGTATAGTAGATTTTATTAATGATTATTTGTTTTAAATGGAAATAAAAATATTTAAAGACATATTTGCAAAGTTATTTATGCACATAGGTAACATTTAAATAACCAATTTAAAAATGGATGTATGGCAGTTTAAAAAATAGATGTAATAAGTATTCTGATGGCTGATTCTGATGGCTTTGTTTCTTGACAGTAGTAGCATTATTGAAACACCTAGTGTTTAAATCTGCCACTTGATATTTTCCCACATGTATTTTCATTCTTTGGTTTCTTCTGTGAGTTTTACTGAAGCATTTAATATATAGTTAAATATATAGTTAGTTTATATTTATATATAAATATATAATATATATTTAATATATAGAGTATCAAATATACATACCAATATAGTACAGGACCTAATGTTCTCTTTTCAGGGTTTCCTTTTGAAAATAGGACTCTAATTAACATACATAATTATATGTCCTTCTCCCTCCTTCCCAAGTCAGTAAAAAAAAAGAGGGAAGAGTGGTGTGTAGTGATACTATTTTTCCAGAGTTGAAACAGTATAACCTATAGCATCGTTGACCCTCTTGACAGCTGTCAGTTTCTGAAGAAAAGTTCTCTCTCTGTAGAGCAGTTTCTGGAGGAAAATAAAAGCAATATAAAGATTTGAATTCTACTCATGTTTTGGACTGTAGATTTTGTAGTTAACAGAAATGGGAAAGTAAAGCTTGAACTCCTAGCTGACTCCTTCCCCCAGTAGTTTTACACTTTTCCAGTATTTGACATGTGTGAAAATGATTGTGTTATCATTCATAAAGGATTATTACTCTCATGACTGGCCTGTGTTTTTATTTCTGTTGGCAGTGTGATAAATTCGAATAAAGTTTGTATTTTCTTTGCATTTGGGATCAGAGAGCTTTCCATTAAATTCCATCTGATTAAATTCTTGATCACTTTTTTGCTTAAGTCATCAAGATATGTTAAAAAGAATAAGTAATCTAGTAAGTCTAAGATCCTTAGATTTTCAGTTCCCAGAATATGTTGCCTGTCCCAAATTTCCGGTCATTGTTACCATCGTTTGATGAAATAAAGGGCATTTTAAAATCAAGCAGAAAAGATGGGGGAAAGGGGTGAGTCATTCTCAAGAAAGAATAGGTTCTACAATAAGTGGAAACATGTATGTGTATAATGTGTTCTGTATTATCCAGTAAGGATATAATAAATAATGCCTCTTTTTGCTGTGGATTTATGAAAGTTTTTTTTGCTGAACCAGCAGTTGGGAATAACTTGTATAAACAGAATAGCTGACTGCTCTGTTATTTGGTGGTTCTGGCAGGTCATAAAGACAAGCTTAGATTTGGTTTTAAAATGTAACCTTTTATTGTGCTGCCTATGTGTGTTTGAATTTTTCTCCCAAATCAAATAGGAAAAGTACCCCAAGTATGAAGAAGTGATAATAATTAACTCTGATAGAGAAAAGTCCTGTTCTGTTTCTTTGTGCTTACAGCTTTAATAGAATACAATCTCTCAACCCTTTTGCTTCCCCTAATCTTTAAGGTGTTTGACAGTTGTGCTAATTCTTCCCGATTGTTATTAGGAATGAAGGCAATGTACCCTTTGTGTTCAATGAGGGCACAAGCGGCTTAAAGTTTCTTAGTATAAAGATAAGCTTACAGAATAAAGAGTTATTTAGCAAAACTGAATATTTCCCAACTTTTATGTATAACCTCAGTGTTCCGGTTCTTACAGTTTTACCAGAAGCTCCAAACCTTTAGTGTCTGGTTTCTAGTGAATTTCCATTTGAGTTAATGACCCAGGAAGAACCAGACTTGGTTCTACTCTTTAAAAACCCTTTGTATTAACAAAGGATGTGTTTCTCATTCAAGTTCTATTATTAAAATTGAAACGCTTATTCACTGAAATTTCCCACAAAGCATTGGAAACTCTACAGTTTTTGATAGAATCTTTGGGCATCCTTGTTTGGAAAAACTGACTGTTGTATTGTCATACATACTGTGATGAAAAGGAACTCATATGGAAAAATATGAGTTCCTGTAGAAAAATACGGTTTTCCTACTTTAGGGGATAAAACTCTAGGGGCAACAGAAGCCCAACCGAAAAGTTGAGAATTATGCTTTACTCAGGGATGTTTCTAAGGATTATAGTCCGTCAGGGCAGCCTCTCAGATAGCTCTGAGGACCTGTTCCAAACAAGCAAGGGAGGAACTCAGATACTCAGGAGTTTTTGCTAATTACAAAAGACAAACCTCTCAAGTTAATGATTTTAGTGCTTTTCTATGCTTGGGAAGATAGAGGAGTCTGGGCTTACTGAAATTATTTCTTTGATATGCATCTTAACCACCTAGGGTCAGTATCCCGTTTTTCTCCATCCTGAATTCCTCTCAGGGCACTTCGTCCAGACTGGCTACAGTGGCTAATGGCTGAATGGCAGACAACATTCTATTCTTTCTTGATTGAAATGGCAGGCAACAATTTTTTGTACATGTTCTTTTGACTATTTAATCAGTAGGCCTGATTTAAACCATGTATTCATTTTCCTCAAGGCAGAAAAAACATACCCTAAAGAGATTTGGGTAAGTATTTAGGGATTAATATGAGAAATTGGAAAGCCTAGAGAAGCAGGAGTGGGGGTTGTTTGCAGTTCCCTAGGGCTGACCTAAGCATGAGTGAAACTGTAGCAGCTCCCCTTGCTGTGAAATCACACCATAGACTGCTTCCTGAGTAACTTAAGATTTTCTAAACTATTTTTTTACTACCTTTCTTAATTGATTTCTTGGGGCTTAATTTAAGTTCTGAGACTTCGTCCTTTCTCTTTGGTAAGTGTACTTGTTCAGATAGGCACACAATATTATTTAAGAGTGATGACTCTAAAGCAGTGACAGCCCAGGCTTATTACTTATAGTCATGATGAATAAAACTTAAAAATGAATTAATGCTTAGTTCTTCTGCCCTCTCCAAATAGAAAAGAACGTCCTATATCATTAGGGATTTTCCCTTTACCTTCTGGAGACGGATTGCTTACACCTGACACTCAGAAAGGTGGCGAGACCCCTGGATCAGAACAATGGAAATTTCAGGAATTAAGTCAACCACGTTCTCATACCAGTCTGAAGGTAAGCTTTATCCTATGAAAATCTTCAGTTTGTTTATAAGCTTTCTTATCCAAATTGAAGTGCTAGATAACCAGAAGAGAATAAAATGAAATAGTATGTGTACATTTTATTTTGTAAAACTAATGCTTTTTTTAAATTGGAAATGAGCTCTTCCTGTTTTATATTACTTGTTTTTCAAGTTTCATAGGAAAACAGACTCAAGCATTGTTACATCTTGATTGTTATACTAATGACCAACATTTCTATTTCATTTAGGCTGTTTCTATTTGATTTACATTATATGAATTTAGGATGGGGTGATCAGTGAACCTAACTATGTTTTTAAGAATTGAAAATCATTGCCACCTGAAATCCTTGGTTCACCGCTGGGAAGCTTCACAATTTACTTTAAAAAAACAAAAGGAAACGGCAGTCCAGTGTTCTTGCCTGGAAAATCCCATGGATAGCGGAGCCTGGCAGGCTGCATTCTGTGGGGTCAGTAGCGAAGAGTCAGACACAGCTGGGTGACAGTGTAACAATTTCCTTGAAACCTTCATAAACCAATATCCAAAAGTGCAGTGTGTTTAGCTAAAAAGGCCTGGTGTTAGTTCATTATAAATTATATTCTTGACCAAGAACTTGTTACAAAATAAGTTGTAAATATAAATATAGTATATTCTAAGAGTGGAGATATATACTAATAATTAAAAATATTTGAAGTTATAGTCTATATCTTATAAACTGGAATATTGATAAAGGGAACTGATTATAAAGGAACCTTGTTATGTTAGAAAATCTACTCTGTCATAAAACAAACAGACCACCTAAATGAATATAGTTGAGTTACTTACATCTTTATCTCTTTTTTTCTGGTCGCTTTCTCCAAATTACTTATCATGGTTTAAATATTCAGGTAACTCTTTAAAAAAAAAATTTTTTTTTTTAATTTATTTGGCTGTACTGAGTCTTAGTTGTGACATACGGGATATTTAGTTGTGGCATGTGGGTCTAGTTTGCTGAGAATAAACCCAAGCCCCCTGCACTGGAAGCTCAGATTCTTAGCCACTGGAGCACCAGGGAAGTCCCCTTAGATAGCTTTTATGATACCTCTAAAATATGAAGTCATTTACTTATTTATTTTGTTTCTCTCTACCAAGATTGTAAAATCCATGCAGTTTATTTACTGCCATGTCCCTAGCACTTAGAAAAGGTGCCTAGCACATAGTTGTCTCTCAGAATATGTTTGTCAAATGAATTATTTGTTTTAGATGTTAGAAAGATTCTTTTGACATAATGTAAATGGTCTGTTTCTCAGCTCTAGTAGGTAGAGGCATTTAGAATCATTTCATTGACCTTTGAAATGTACTCAAAACAGTAAGAAGTAAATAAATATTTCATAGCTTTGCTCCCACTGCAAAGTATTTTTAACAGTAGGCCTACCCTCACATTTTTTCCATTCTCTGACAAGTCATAAACTGATTAACAGATGGATTTGAACAAGGGAGTCCTGTCCTCCCTAGGGATACTAAGGTAGGTATTCCCAAGAGGTTTTTAAAATAAAATCCAGTCTGTTTCTACTGTGGACATGGAGCCAGTAAATGAGATAAAGGCTTAACAGGACTTCCCCTGGTGGTCCCAGTGGTTAAGAATCCACCAGCCAATGCAGGGGAAATGGATTAGACTCCTGGTTTGGGAAGATTCCACATGCTGTGGCAGCTAAGCCTGTGTACCACAACTACTGGAGGCCATGCGCCACAGCTACTGAAGCCTGTGCGCCCTAGAGTCCATGCTCCACAAAAAGAGACGCCACCACAATGAGAAACCTTGCACACCACAGTTAGAGAGGAGCCCCTGCTTGCTGCAACGAGAGAAAGCCCACGTGTAGCAACAAAGACCCAATGCAGCCAGTCCCCCCGCCCCAAAAGGGATAAGTTTGTGAAATATGTCTCATAATCAGGACATATTTTACTATTTACTTAAGTCTTTGTTATTAGTCAGATGTCTTTCTCTAACTTTGCAAAAGCCTGGGAGTTGGGTCTAGAGTTCACATGTGGATTGCATTGAAGAAACACACTAGTCTTGGTTTCCACGTCTGACAAAAGTTGGACTAGATCGTCTCTATTGTAATGTGTTTTTCAACTTTCATTTCTCTAAGAACTTTGAAGATGACCTAGCTCTATTAAGAGTATGCTCATAATATGAATTTTACTAGCACTTTTTTGTGTGTGTGTGAAATAAGGTTAAGGTGAAATGTTGTGTGAGAAAACCAGGGAAACTATGGCAGAAGAATGACAGAAAAGGAGATTTGCCTGTGATTATAAATTTATGGACCTTTTTTGTTGCTTTATTGCAGATTTCTCACTGAGAGAGAGTTGTAGTCAGCAAGGTTATATCTTCGGTATACTATACCATTTAAGGAACTTGAGCATCTGTAGATTTTGGTATCCACAGGGAGTTCTGGAACAATCCCCTGCAGATAACAAGGGATAACTGTAATGGAATATCTGCCAGGACTGGTGCACCTGGAAAAATATACATGTTGTTCTTAAAAAACTTAAAAAGAAGTATTTGTACATATTTATTCCTTTGTTTATTGTATTCTTGTTGAGAAAATCAACAAAGAAACAAATGAAAGCATGGAATTTCAAGTAGTGTTACGTACTGTTTTTATAAAACAAAGTAAGGGGCTAGAAAATAGTAGTAAGAAGGGGTAGTTAAGGAGTTTCTCTTTGAAGTGGTGACTGTGCCCTGAGAAGAAGATGCCCAGGTGCATGGAAGGGTCCAGAGGAATATGTGCTTCAAAATGGCCAGGTAGCATCTGTAAAGGCCTCAAGGTGGGGACAGACCTTAGCATGTTGGAAGAGTGTTTTTTTTTTTTTTTTTCTGTTCATCCTATTCCTCTGAGACTTTAATTCTACCTACTGCACCAGTGTGCCTTTTTTTTACGATCATCCAAAATATCCATCTTTCCAAATATGGAAAATTCCCATTCCCTTGCTACATTGTAGCAGCACTTGATACATTTGAATACTGTATTCTTCTTGAAGTGGTTTTTTTCACTTTGCTCCGAGGAAACTTCTCCGCACCCCTTCCCCACTCCCCCCAACCCCCCAGTCTCTGGTATTCTTCACAGGTCCTTTTCCTTTGCTGGTTTTGGACATCTAAATGTTGGCGTTCTCTAGAGCTTAATCTACTTAATCTCTGCTCTACTTAATCTATGTAACTCAAGTTTCATGTCTGTAAATACCATCCACCCATCAGCTTTCACAAATCTTAATCTCTGACCTTGATCCCTTTCCCGAACTCCACACTTTTGCATCCAGTTGCTTTTCTTTATAGTTTTCCCACATACGCATTTGTATCCTGCTTAGGTTACCACCAGTAGAAGTACTCTGTCAAGGCCAGTCTAAATGCCACAGCTTACATTGAAGCTTCACCTGACACCTTTTCAATGGTCCTCAAATCTAGTTTAGAGATCAGTTTAAAGCTGAAAGCAGAAGATTATTATACTGTGTCACTAACAGAAATTTTTTTATTGGGGGGCTTCTAGTGAAATTGGTAAAAAGGAACTTCTTATGTTAACTGACATTTTCTGTTGAAAATGTATTATAAAAATGCTAAGGCTGGGGGCTTCCCTGGTGGCTCAGTGGTTCAGGCCTAATTGGAGATGTAGATGGAGGAGCAGATATACTAGGTATGATAGTTTATCTGAAGTAGTATAATACTGTTTTTAAAATAGACTTTTAAAATGACTTAACCAAACATTTCTTTAAAATGAACTGGGACTTCCCTGGCGGCTCAGTGGTAGCCTGCCAATGCAGGTGACACGGGTCTGGTCCCTGAGCTGGGGAGATGCCACGTGCTGTGGAGCATCTAAGCCTGTGCGCCACAACTGCTGAGCCTGTGCTCTAGAGCCCAGGAACCGTAACTGCTGAGCCCACGTGCCGCAGCTCCTGATGCCCTTGCCCCCTAGAGTCCGTGCTCTGCCACGAGACGCCACCACAATGAGAACCCTGCGCACTGAGGCTGGAGGGTAGCCCTTGCCTGCTGCAACTGGAGAAAGGCCCAGATAGCTGTGAAGACTCAGCAGAGCCCCCGGATAATAAATGAATAAAGTTAGAAAGCTAAGGCTGAAAATGGTCAAAAATGTTAGGGTAAGGCTGTTCCTCCGACTGAATTATATTCACAAAAAAGGGAAATAGTATGTAGGTTACTCAAGAAGTAAGTAGTTGTGGTTGGAGGAAAGCAAAAGGATATCTTGAGTTACCAGGGTAAAGGGAAAGTACTCTTAGAATGGGACATTCACGGTGATGGTCGATCAGGGCTCCGTCACTTAAACAGGCTTCTTGCTATAGGGTTGATGGCCAGTCCCAGTGTCTGAGTGATTTCCTGGGTCCAGCAAAGGGATCAGATTTCCAGACTCATTTTCCCACTCTACCTTCATTGGCCAAGCAGCTGCCAAGAACAGAGGCCACCTCTCCTAATACCTGGCAAAACAAAGGCAGTATTGCCTCACAAATTGATTGCTTCTCTGAGGTACCCACCAGTGTATTTGGGGAGAAGCTTCGAGAACAAGTTGAGGAGGGACTGTCCTTCTATGTGTAGGAGATTGAAGAGATTCCACAAAAGAAATCTGCATGTCATGAAGGAGGCAATGATTCAGGCAGATGAAATAGCTGCTGAGATTACTAAGAAGCTGGAGAAACAGAAGAAACCCTTGAATAAGGAAAAGAAAAGGCTGGCTGCGATTGCCCTGGCATCTTCAGAAAGCAGTAGTGCCCCGGAGGAATAAGAAGACAAGTAAAAAACCCCAAAATAAGAAAAAGCAAACGCCTGGGGAGGCTCCCCGGGAGAATGGAGTGGAAGACCCATCTTATCACCTCCAAACCAAGAAAAAAAAATCTTTTTTCCAAGGAGGAGCTAGTTAATAGCAATATTGAAGAGACAGCTGGCTGTAGAAGTCTTTCCAAGAGGAAGAAGTCTTTTCCCAAAGAGAAATCAGTTAATGACCCAGAAGAGTC